TGCTTGCTCCACTGGATTGTCATCTGGAGGATCTCCTGCCAACTGTGCTTCTGTGAGGTTTGCGTTTGGCCCACCTTGATAGCTGGCTCTCAACTCTGTGAGATATCTTCTCCATCTTCTGTCCCAGATAAGACTTTGTGTGTCAGTGAGACTCATTGACACAAGACATCGAATGTCAAATGGCGTGAAATCATACGTATTGAATGTCCCCTTCAGGAGCTGTTTGAAGAACTGTGAATTCAGACCATTGTTCTGAATGGCCTTTGATAAGTCTTTGATCACTTCATGACCCAACCTTTCCCACCTTGGATTTTGACCTTGTGCATCATATGTCACTGGCATTATTATGTCTCCTGATCTTCTGATCAAACCCTTTTCTTTTGATAATTCATTTCTAATTTCCTTCCAGTCTATTGGTTCTATCGGTTGTTCTTCTTCCTCCTCTGGAAACTCCATTGGCCATTGCCTGCACAATGGAATCATGGAGGCTCTTGGTGATCCTTCACTCCATGTTCTTTGACTTGAGGTCCTCAGTCTTGCTCCTAAATCTGAAAAAGAAACTTGAGGCTCTCTTGAACGCGTTCTTTTTGCTGCATCAAAAGACTGCAGAAGATTTCTTGCTGCTTCTGCTGCTGAAAGCATCCATGCTGGAATTCCCTCTCTTGCTGTAATGTGTATCATTTCTTCTCCTTGAGGCTGTGTTTCATCTGAGCTGTCTTCAACTTCATATAATCCTGAAGTTGATGGAATATTATCCTTTTGTTGTGTTGTTGTTGTTGTTTTTATTTTCTTTAATGTGGCTTTCTTTTTATAAATTGTTGGAAAAAATTGTTGCATTGTTGCAGTTTGGCCAGCAGGTGATGTGGTGGCGCTGTCGAGCAGGTCTGACATGTCCTGCAATGTGGTCGTCCCTCCACGAGGTGGCGCTGTCGCCTGCCTGGACAACCTTGATGACGACACGAACTCGATCGGTTCCTGCTCAGCAGACTGAAACGCTAGCAACTGTGTTTGAGACCGAGTTTGCATGGCTGTTGACTGAGCTGGCATTGAGGGTTGAATACTTGAATGTTTCTTTTGAGTGAAAGGGGTTTGAACCATAGGGATTGAGACTAAAGGCATCGAGACCGGAGAGGGGGTGGAGCCCCGGGATGTTGAACCCTGAACGTGGCCCCTCCTCTTCGCCCGAGACATCACAGAGGATCGGACCTGCCCCCGTCCTCGCTCCATAGGCACTCCCCGCGCATGCGTGCCTTCGGGGACGCCCCCTGCCTCCCCTGTACTGACGTCACTGTCTCCGTCCCGCTCCACCTCCGAAGTCTCCTCCCTATTGTCTGTTCCTGTCCCTCTCTCCTCCTCCTCTGATGCTGTATCCACACCCCGCGCCGAAGCGCGCAGCCCTCCCCCCGCGGGTGTCCCCTTTCGCGCCACAATTCGAGCCGATCTCCGGGTCCAGATTTCCGGGTCTGACGTCACCACCGCGCATCTCCTGCGTCCCCCCACGGTAGCCCGCCGGAGCCCTGCAGCTGCTCCGCCCTTGCTGCCCGTGTCTGATGCTGCCGCGTCGGTTTGAGAGCCCTCCCCGGCCGTCTCGCGAGCCTTGCTCATCACGCGCACTTTTGGCACCACGCCAGCTGAGGCTGCCGCCGCTTTCGGCATTGCGCTCGCAAAAGCCGCACCAGAACCCGTGTTCCCCATCGCCTCCACGGCCCCCCCGCCAGCCGCCGCCGCCGCCGCGCCTGCCGCGAGAGAGCGCATCCCCCCTCCCCTCTTGTTCCCTTTGAACCCCCCTCCCCGACTCTGCCACTTTTTCCACCTCCTCTCCCTCTGACTCCTGCGAATCGGGACGGTACGCTCGTAAAGAGTGACCTGCCTCCTCGATATCGCTGGGAGAAAACCTCATTTCATCAGGGAGTGGAATAGTATCATCTGTGTCTGAGTCGGAGTCTGAAACCCCTGCACTCTCTGGGGTCTCAGGGTGCTTTAGGGTTCCCTTGGGTCTTCGGGATGGTGGGACTGAAGGCAATGACATTTCTCCTTGTCCCCTTTTCTCGGGCACTTTTTCCCCTGGGCCAATCGGGATCAGAGCCAATCTCTGCTTTGAGCCTTGCTCTGCTCCCTCTGCCCCGGTGGGACTCGCAACAAGTTGTTGCCTGGCTGACCCTCTAAATTGAGTCGAGGTCGCCTCTAACATAATTCTTGCTGAAGACAGCAATTTCAAGGCTGTCTTATCCTCATTGATGGCTAGAAAATATAGGTGTCTATTAACTTCTTGCCAAAAGCCTACTTCAAATAACAACCGTGTCTCTGAGTACGGGTAATTACACCGCACCCACAACAATAATTCTTTAAGCTTTTTCTTTGGGATCCCCTTAGTGTGTGTGTCTGCCACGCCCTGTAGGTCGGACAGAATCTCTATTTGTTCCTGGGAAAGTGTACCCCCCATGTTCTTAATTCTTGACCTTCTCACCGAAAATCTGTCGTCAGAGCAGTCCGAAGGCTCCTGGTCTCTGCCTGCAGGTCACAGGAGATGGATTCGGAGGCGCCTTTCCGATTCCGATTCGGGCTGTCCTGCTACGAACTTTCTTCGGCCGAAGTGGAGTGCGATGTTCTCTGTGGCTGCTGCGTCTTCAGACTCTCCTGGCTGCTTTCTGGCTGTTTTCCCAAGGAGTTATCAGTGCTCTCCTGGGAATGAGTCCAGCTCGGGAGCTGCCCACTCAGTGCTTCAAGGCTGACCCTGTGCAAGAGGTGCACACCAGAGCTCACCGTGGCTCAGCAAGTGCTGCCGGATGCTGCTGGATCGGCGGTTGCTGCCGGGTAGCCCCCCGGATCGCCCACCGGGTGCCCACCCAGGGACGCCAAATGTCGGGTCTGGCTGTCTGTCTCTGCCCCGACACGGGTAGAGTGGTTCTTGGGTGGCACGTGTTTCAAAGGATGAGTCTGGACTCTTCAGCTTTTCGGTCTTCAGATTGTTTATTGTTTCTTATCTACAAAATTTTCTGTCTGCCTAACAGAGGTCTGATCTGCAAGGCAGCCACAGGCACTCTGACCACCCACGGGGCGGTCATATCTTTTTATACTAAAATCTACGTACATAATATTTACCTTTGTTTCCCAATACTTTTCACCCATGTTAGCAAGTGCACCTTCACCATAAACCAATCCCCAAGTGCCAACATCACCACAGGAGATGGAGGACAAGAAGAAGAAAGAAGAAGGACGAGACACGCCCTGATCCCTCCATCTTGTCTCCATAACCCCCCTGTACCAAAAACCTTGAGGTTTATATTTCACCCTTTAAATGTGTCCCTTTTGCACCCTTCACTCTAAAGTGATTCTCATGTCCTCAAACTCTTGTCACTTCTGTGGATGGATCAAAATCAAGCTACCAAACACTCCTGGCAACATTCCAGGATTTCCGAGACCCCCAAGGGTTCTCCTAGCATCTCTGGACATCGGGAACGATGTGCTGAGTTCCCACATGTAACTATTTCACATCTTTTTCCATAACTACAAAAATGAACTGACTATAGAGAAACATGACTGAATCTTCCAAGAGGCTGAAAATATGAGGTGCAGAATGGCTCATTCTTTTCAGTGATGCTAAGAGGTTTATCTTCCAGCACTGCTCACTATCTCACTATCTAGATGATGGAAAATGACCGTGAAGATCTAAAATAAAAGCTTGCTCATGTTTTCCTGAAGCATAGAGCTTAGTAATTTCACAACTATGGAAAATGTCATTAACAGTAGGGGTGTTAGAAATGAGGTTGCACTGTAGCTTTTGGATTAAAAGGATTACAGTGTTATTTCTGTAGAGTGTCTTAGTTATGACTTCAGAATGTTCAAGTACATGACACTTTCAACCAAGGTATTTGAGAGAAAATTAGTAAAGGTAAAACATCTTGGACTATAAGATGTTAGGTAAGTTAACTTTGAAGATGACTCCTTCAGAATAGTATTCAGATTATCGGAATGTTACACTACAATGCTAAGCTGGTAAAATAGATACATGCACACATATATACATGCACACATACATTCACCTGGATAGTCTGAACTCACTGCTGTCAAGAAAAACTTCTCTGTTAGCTGGAGCATGTCTGTTTTTCCCCCTTGTCTTAGAATCAGCATTTGAAAGAACATTTCAGTTCTATAGTGTATGGGTGAATTCAATTATTTTTTTTACAATTGGGATATTTGTATGCTTAAGTGTAGTACCTTGAAGCATTCATTTGCATCCAATTGCTATCTCCTGTCTTCTTAATATAGTATCTGAATTTTTTGACTGAAGGTTTATTGGTGTGCATTTTCTTGCTATGTTAAAAATTGGTCACTTCTGACTGCTGGAAGAAGAAAAAAAACTAAACAACATTTAGGTAAGGATATGTAGAAAACATATCAATCTCCTAAGTGGAGAATTTGACCATAAACTAGTTTTTTCAAAACCTCAAAGCTAACTTTAAAGTATAGTGATAAAAATATAACCAAGGTGTTAATACTCTTAAGTACTAATGAGAAATTTAGGTCTCTTTGTAAAAGATAATTGCTTTCAATCATCATGAATATTTTTTCAAGTCTTGAAGTATACTTTATGACAAGGCAAGGGGGTTTTGCCTGTTAAAGTTGAAGGGTGTGTGCTTTTTAAGACACTAGCAAAGTCCTTTCGAATCCCTTCCTGATTACACTAAAATGTCTGTGAGACAGCACTGTATATGGCTTCATAGAAAACATTTGGACTCAGAGTAGTCCTCTGAAAGTACAGACTGATCTTCCTCGTGGGAAATACAAATTCCCTGGTAATCTTGGCGATGATGGTATCACATAGTGAAAGGAGAGGAAATAGCTTCTGAAAAATATTAACATTCCAGTAGCTGTAAATGGGCTGGTAATTTTTTTCAAGTATACCTTTAATCTGACTCTTTGCACAACTTTGGTTTTAACTAAATGTAACTAGCTGCTTTTACTGAGTGAATAGACTAACAGATACTTATTCTTATCAGGTACCAGGTCATCAGTACACCAACTGACATTTTCATGGTGATGGAATATGTTTCAGGAGGAGAACTGTTTGATTATATCTGTAAAAATGGAAGGGTAAGAAGTAGTCTAACTCCACAAATCAATGACTTGCATTCTGTTATTGCTTTTGCAATCTTCCTGTTAAATGAAGGTTTGTTTCTTATGTATTCAGCATTAATTTTGCGGTTAGCAATTAAAATATACCTTATGACTATATCTTGTTTTGAAAATAAAAATGGTTATATATCAACATGTTTCAAATCTTTGTATGTGACTTTGTAGCATTTTTCCACTCTACTGAAGAATAAATGATACTGATATGTTAATTTACAATTACTGTGTAGAAACTGGATGGATATGCTACCCAATTGGAGTAGCTGTAAACTTTCTTCAGTATAAACTATTGTTGAAAAGCTACTGTTGTGCCCTTATTACCCTCTTCTACTATTAGACTGGTTTCTGTGAAAGTCCTAAAGTCACTTTTGACAAACCATCTAGATAGCCAGGATATGTTTAGTTAGTTGTTAGACTGAGCAAACTTTGACACAGATTAGGGTGTGTTTATAGGAAATATCCAGTTAAGTCTGCTGTTTAGGGCTAGCTGCTAATAGGAGCATAAACCGTATCCGAAGTTTATCACTTATATACTGAGTGTCATCAGCTTTTGTCAACTTTAATCTTATACCATGCTTAAATATCTAAGTTAATTGATATTTTAATTAGACAAAATTAATGTTTGGGTGCTAATATTTCTAATTACTGAGTATATAACGTGCTGTATAAAATATCAAAACTATAAATGATAGCTTTTGGTCATTGGAAAGTTTCCTTCAATTCATATAGGGGAAAATCAAGTTATCCTTCCACTGTCTCAAAATTGTTTAAAACCTTTGTTTGTTTTAGCTTGATGAAAAGGAAAGTAGACGTCTGTTCCAGCAAATCCTTTCTGGTGTGGATTACTGTCACAGGCATATGGTAGTACATAGAGATCTGAAGCCTGAAAATGTGCTGCTTGATGCACACATGAATGCCAAGATAGCTGATTTTGGTAAGCATTGCTATTTTATATCTGATCACATTTCTGGTGTTATTTAGGTCCTGTTAATTTAGATCCTGGCCCGACCGCAGGACCTCTCTCACTTTTCTCACTGCTGGCAGTTTGCAAAGTTCAGGTCAAAACAGTTTCTAATTGCTAAATGTAGTCTTTACGAGTGGCTACAGTTGCAAACCCAAAACAACCACCTTCGAAGCAGAGCTCTTGCCTCTCTTTCTTTCATCACAGCTTTTGCTAAAGTCTCCACTTCCATAGTTTTTTCTCCTTGGCCGGGTGCTGCTGACAAGTCACCATCGACTTGGACTGGAGTGGGGAGGTTGGTGCAATGCCCTGGCTGCGGAATTCACCCTAAGGCAGCTCAAAACCGCTAACTGCAGTGTCTCTGAGACAAGGAAAAACAAATGAAAAGAGAACCAAAAAAACCCTCCACTTAAGCAAAGTCCAAACAGCCAGCAAAGCAAAAACCATGCGGCAAAAGGGGGCAAACTGCTTGTTCCAACAGACTCTAAAAGCTCCCTCAAAACACCCCCGCCCCCATTCTGTTCCTGGCTGCACTGCTGGTTCTTAAAGACACAGCTTAATATTTTCTCTGATAATGCTAAGTAGACTTAGTTCCCCACCTTGCCACTTCAAAACTGACTCTCTGATTGTTTCTTTATCTATAAAATGCAGATGCTTAGCTCTCTTTTAAGTACAGTGCAGGGAAAGTTCATCATATTTAAGAACTACATTGCTCTAGTAAAATACACTACTTCTAAGAAACTGCTCTAATTTCACTTTAAAAGCTCTACAGATGTGACTGAAAAATGTAATTAAAGCATAAAAGGTAAAATAAGAACATTTTTGCAAATTCCTGTGCTTTTAGCTATATAACTGCTGTGAGAAACAGAGCTTACTCTTTGAAATTTTTAAAAGTTTAATAAGGGATAAAAGGGACAATATCCAGCGCTGGGGTGTTTGGCAATATGCCAAAAACATACCTGGCTTAAAACAATGTTCTTATATACTGTTACATTACATGCATTATATGTATATTCATGAGCATTTATACATTATTTAAACAGTCTTGTGAGTTTAGATGTTTCAGGAATTCTTTTGCTTGGTTTTAACCTTTGACTTGTCTGCATGCCATCCTGTAGATTAAATCAGTATATTTTATTTTTTCTCATGGTTCCATCTTGTTGTTTTTACACTCTCTGATAACGAAGACTCAGTAAATTCTTCTCTTGGTGCTCCTGTTTTTGTCACTGTTATCTTATCATTCAGATAAGATAGTCCACAAATGTGAGAAACAACATAATTATTTTACACCATTCTCTGAGTTAGTTACATTAATAAAAGCATTTTAACATTACATAGTCTTTATTTTAATATTATGCTAAGGCCTGAGATATATTTATCATGCTACTATTTATATAAGCTATATGGTGCATACATAAACTGACAGATTATACTATACCAAAAAGCAGTTAAAAGAAATTATGAATTGTACCACATCAAAATCTTTGTGATTAATAATAACATGCAGAAGCTAACACACAAATGCGAAAGCCAATACTATATCGTAATTTATAACAGCTGCCTAAGTAATCAGAAGCTTAATTGTTTATACTAGCTATTTAACGCAGCTGCTGTGAGGACTGGTAGCAAGTTCTTGGTGTCTAAATTGTGGCAAGGCTGTGTGCACTCCTGAGTTCCCTTATTCTATATAACCTCTTAAAAAATTTTAGGCAATTCTTTGGTAGCATCTTCCTCTTTGGCATTTAGAAGAGAATATGGTTTTTAAGACACTTTTGTGTTAATGACCAGAATCCTATATTACTATGTTGCTCTCTCCTTTAGAGCAGCTTTGTTCTCTATCATGCTTGTGTAATCCAGAATGGATTCGTTTTTGTCTTGGAATTAATATGTTTTTGAACATTCCTAGGTTGTGTGCAATAATGGATTGATGTTACTCAAGTTTCTGGTAAACTAAATGCAGGATCGTGTGTTGTTCTCATATAAAAATTTCAATCACTCCAAACAATTTTGCCTCCTTACTGAGATAAATTAGTTAACTTTCTAATTTGAATTACCAGTGATCTTTTCTAGTGTAAAATCACTTTGCTCTGTGAATCTTTAGTAGTTATTCTTATATACTTTCAGGTCTATCAAATATGATGTCAGATGGAGAATTTTTAAGAACAAGCTGTGGTTCCCCTAACTATGCTGCACCAGAAGTAATTTCAGGAAGGTAGTTTCTTTTCTACTGGATACATGTATGAGCTTCTTTTCTATTGGGTGCATATGTGCATGTACTTCAGTCATTTTGCTGCTTAATTCTAAAGGCTACAAAATAGTGTAATGCACAAGCTTTACACTAAGAAATTGTGAGCTGAACTCTTAATTGCCTTGATAATTTTTTATAAATATTTAAGACTTTGACCGAGCTTTGAACAGTTTTTGTAAGGTGGAGGTGATGTCTGATGTCCCAAATACAGTGTGTACAGTGTCCCTGAATTGGTTTAAAAAATCTCATTTACAGCTCAGATCTTGCAAGTAGAGGTACAGATAGAAATACAGGCAAAGTATACTGTGAAGTTGAGTAGCAGTGAAATATCTGCCGTAGAATCTATATTCAGTCTGAATTTACTCAGTGATTGTCAAATATGCTGCTTTCAGCTCACTACCCTAATATCTTTTGCTGACTGGAGGCCAAATGTATGTTTTATTCATGCAGTAGCATAGAAGATGTGGCAAGTTCTGCTATGTGGACTTGTCTTAAACTTCTTAGCCTCCAAGGCTTGGAGGCTAGATGACTACATAGATTGCACTCAAATAGTGACAGCGATGTATAACATGGGCTTTCTTGGTAGTAGCTGCAAGTTTCTTTCAGTTTGCCATTATCTTAAATTGTATCTGTGGATTATTTTTATGCAATAGAGAGGAAAACAAAGTACTTTTCTAGTTTCTGTTACATATGTGAAGAGGAAAGACACGAGTTCAAGGCATAGTACTGAATGGTATAGTGAGTGCAGATTAGTTGTCCAAAGTTCATATACTCTTGATTAACATGATACAATTTAAGAATGTAGAAAAAAAATCTATTTAAATGTATTAAGCACAAATTGCTAATATTTAACTTTTTTTCCCAGATTATATGCAGGTCCAGAAGTAGATATTTGGAGCAGTGGAGTTATTCTCTATGCTTTGTTATGTGGAACACTTCCATTTGATGATGATCATGTGCCAACCCTTTTTAAGAAGATATGTGATGGTATCTTTTATACCCCTCAATACCTGAATCCATCTGTATCTAGTCTTCTGAAACACATGCTGCAAGTAGATCCAATGAAGAGAGCAACAATCAGAAACATTAGGTAAAATGTTAACTGATATCTGATCAGAGGAGGCTGGAATGTTAATTTTAATGAAAATATGCAGAACAAAGAAATAATTTATATAGCTTGTCCCTGGTTTATAGTCTGAGATGAAAAATTCAACTTCTGTTTTTTTGGCTTTAGCTCTGGCTCTGATCTCCTGTGGCCAATGAAGTATCTACTGGTGGTCAGAGTAGAACAAATATATATGTTGCATATAAAAATTCTGTGAAATTCTACATTTAAGAGTGCTAAATCAAGCCTGTTTACCTGAAGAATGGTTTGCAAAAACTGTACGGTATTGACTTCTCTGGGCAAGAAAAATATTTGCTGATTTGAACTGCTGTTTTGTATGGCAAATGTCTGAGGGGAAGTTATGACTCTTTAACCTGATAACTATTGCTTTTATTAATATTTCTGCAGACTCAGCAAAATAATCTATTGAGGTTGAATATTCCATGTATAAGATGGCACTCACTATTCTAGCTTGAAAACCCTGCCACGAACCTGTATATGAGTGACAATTGCTACATAGAATACTGATAAGTTTAAGACTGCAGATAGAGATAGACATCATGGACTCCAGATTTCAAGATAGAATTATGGAGAGGGTGACCACTTTTTGACAAGTGAACAGTGGGTAGAATTAAAAAAAAGGTAGCTTCATGCAATAGCAGAGTTAGGTATTCCTGTTTTATTTGTAAGAAGCTCTAAGGAGAGAGCTCTGAAATACTACCTTAGTGAAGATGCTTCCTCATTTAGGAATGGAAGTTTTTAAGTTAGCAATGTTTTTGTTCTTTCAGTAAAACAAAAAATGTGTTACATATATCCCTTACTACTTCATTAAAATGGAAAGTAGTTTCATAGAATGTTAAACGGTTGGAAGGGACTTAAAGATCATCTAATTTCAACCCCCCTGTCATGGGCAGGGATACCTTCCACTAGACCAGGTTGCTTAATATTGGCAATGGAGAGACAGGGACATCTGAACTTGGATCAGAAGCCGATTTTTATTGAGAATAAAAAGTGTTTATATAGGGTTGACTTGTATGACACTTATATAGGGTTCTATTTTTGGTAACAATTTCCTATTGGTTACACATTCTTCATGACATCTGTTACCTGGTAATCATTATCTTATCGCAAAGTTTCACAACATATCTCTTGGTCACTTTTACACCAGAGATCTGTGTCTGTCTCTCCTATGGTTTCTGCTTGATCAGGCCTAAGATATCAGGCTCCTTTATCAGTTCCATTGTACTCTCTCTTACTGTCTATACCTCCCCCTTTCCTTTCAACTAAAAATACACTCAAGTGACTTGTCTATTAGTTTTTTCACACACTGTAAAATACAAGGAATAACCATAACAATACATAATATAATGCCTAATACATATAAGCCTATTTTAACTAAATTTCTTATCCATCCACCAAGTCCCCAATCCCCCAGAAGTCTACCTAGCCAATCAAATCCATCATCTACTTGCAGTTTGTTTACACCCTCTTTCAGGGCTTGAATGCTTGCATGGATTGATTGAGAGTGGTCGGACAGCTTCATGCAACATATTCCATTGAATTCCTCACATCCATGTCCTTGTGCTAAAAGCAAAAAAATTATCGCTGCCCTAATTTGCAATGTAGCATGTCTAATAGAATCGACATCAGCTAAAAGTCCTGTTAATGCTAAGGACATAGCATTAGTTTGTCTAGCTAGCCAATAACCTAATTTGTTAAGTAATCCTAAAACTTTTCTTGCTGCTACACCAGGGGGAAAAACGATGCTGCCCATTGCTGTCCTTTATACCAAAAATCAAACCGGTCATCACAATCTTTGTCAAAAGCATGTAAGGTTCGCTTAACTTTAGAGGGATATTTATGCTGAAAAATTGGTATGTGAGGTTGTGGTTGGAGACAGACAAACAACACGAACTCCCCCAAGATCATGAGACAAACAGCAGCGGTTTATTATGGAAGACTTTATATGGGGGGTTTGAAAGTCCCGTGTTAAAACAGCTGATTGACTGAGATCTCTCTCTGCCCAGATCTCTGGCCAGTGGTGTGCCTGCATCTAAGCTTGAACAGGGTTGGCTGAGGGTCCCTTGTATAGGTTTGAATCCAACCTATTGTACTGTGACAATTACTCCTTTCCTTTTTAATAAAAAATGTAAAATGTTGTCTGTTATCCTACCTGCAAGGGCCCTTTGCAGACAGGGTGACAGAAGACAGCATGGGTCTAATTTGAATGAGGTTTTCCACCGGATTTGACAAACCTAGCTCCCCTCAGCCAGCGATCTGTCCCACGTACCACTGGAGTTGTAGCACTCACTTCCAGGAGCTGTTAGGCGAGATCACAATCCTTCAGGCTAACATGCCAAAGGTTAACTACTTATAGGTACAAGTTACAACTTAACTCTAACACTAAGAAACCATTTAACCCATAGAACCATTAGAAAAACCCAATTATCAGAAAAACAGTTTGTAAACAGAAAAACAATCTGTAAACAAAGAAAGTCCTTAAATGAACTGTCACTTCAATAGTCCCAGATTTCCATGAGGTAGATAAACAAGTTGTTTCCATCACTGTTCCACACATGGCTCCACAATGTTTGTTGACAGGCTGTCACGATCCACTAGTACAAGCAGGGGTCGTGATGGTTCGTTAACTGATCTCAGAGTGCAAAAACAACACAGAGGGGATTTCAGTATTAATCAAAACAAATGCACCTTTTATTGAGTACCCACAGCAAATGCAATAGAAGGATTAGAAAGGAGATAAAGGATAGAGAGAGAGAGAGAAAGAGGGGAGGAATAGCTACCAACAGAGAGACGAAATCCTCGTGGTCCAGCCAACAGATCCGTCTTGTTGCGTTGGGGAGAATCTCAAAGTCTTGGTTAACTCAGGGGTCTATTATAGTCCTCTGACAAGGGGGGGAATAGGTAAAAGACAATGGAGAAATAAGTCTATTGAAAAACGGGTACAGACAGTCCATGTTCCGAAGCAGGGCAAGTCAATTTCAGCAGTGAGCGGGACCCATTGTTCTTGGTCCAGAGAACACATCTGCAGGCAACACTTTGCAAACATCCCACTTCAGTCAGGCCAGTGCCCCTGTGTTGGAATTATAAGGGTCTCAGTCTCAGTCCTTGGGAGGGGCCTTCAATCCTCCATCCATCATGGTGGTCGTCAGGCAGATGAGGGATTTTCTGTGGGGGATCACCAAAGTTACCCTAGAAAGTCAGACTTTCTCCAAAGCGGGTGGCATCTGGCCAAGAGGTGGGGAAATTCATGGGCTATTGTGATGAGCGGGTAGCGTGAAGCAGGTGTAAGACTGTGGTGACACAGCAAGCACACCTGCAAACAATCGCTTGGTGAGCATCTACCTCAACCAGGCCAGAACTCCAGTCACGGTCTTCAGGGTCTTAGTCTCTGTCCTTGTGACAGTCGTGGGGCAAAAGAGGGAAACTTCGGACCATCTCTTACACAGGCCGTCGGGAGGATGCTGCTTGTGGGCTCAGGCAGGACGTAGGGCAGGACAGACCATATTAGGTCTTTGATCACTTACTACCTGAGTCCAGTACATTTGGGGCTGTCTTTGAAATGTCCCCTGTGGTATGGACTGGTGCGACCAGTTTACCTTCACACGGCCTTGTTGTCCACATCTGTAGCAATGGGGAGTTTGTTTAACAGCAGCTGTAATAGTATTAGCTAACATATCCATGTTGTGAGATCCAGTCACAACCTTAGGACATGCATTTATCATATCCTCTAGGGATGGATTCTCTTTAGGTAATGCATCTATTATCTTTCTACAGTCTTCATTTGCATTATCTTGTGCTAACTGTAGTATTAATTGGCTCCTTGCTTTTCTGTTTGCTATCTGTTTTTTCATAGCATCTTGCAATTGTTCTATGAACCGCATATATAGTTTGTTGGGGTTTTATCTTATACTTGAATAACTTTGGGTAGACACAGACATATTTGTACTTTTTGTTAGAGCTCGCATTGCTAAGTCCTTTGCTTGGGCTAGGATTAAGGGGTCCAGGCGTGCTTGGGTTTGTGGGTCTTCCATGGGGGGCAGTCCCATAAGTTGAGAAATCCCTGACCCAAAACATGGGTCCTGCTGCGAAGCTCTTGAATTTTGCAGTCCCTGGTCTTCTGCATAAGACATCCAGGCTGATTCAAACATCATATATTGCACTGCAGTACAGAGTAATTTTGCAATTTGCTTCGTATCATAGGGGGTTAATTCACTAGCAGTTATAAATCAAAGCCTATTTGCAACAGCAGGTGACCCTAACCTGTGTTTAACAGCCAGTTGGCATAGCTCTGAAAGGATTTGCCAATTAAAGGGCACGTATTTGTCGGGTGTTGTCCCATTACCTAATACAACTGGGAATGCTGCAATTGCTCCCCCTCTCACTGCTAGTCCTCTGATGATGGTGAATACATGGGTACAAAAATTAGTTCAGCCCCCTCTATATCCCCACATTCTATCGCTTTTTGTTTTACCTCCATCCAGAAGATTACCAGGTCACGAGTGGGGATGGTTTCTGCTCGGAACATCAGAGAGGCTGGAGCTGTTGTCGGCAGGGTTGCAAGGGCTTCTTCGGGTTGTTAGAACTTTGGCTGTAGGTGTGATGGTGCAATGGCAGCGACACGTGCTGGGCTAGGAGCATCGTAGTGCTGGGACTTCCTGGTTTCGGTGCATTTCCGGGTGTGATGTAGTGCCAACATCCAGGCATTTCTAGTGACATCATCTCGGGCCCCATCCCTGTGTTGCAGCAGCAGGCATGACCAGCAGAGCTGGGACTGTGAGCGCAGTTTGTGGGCTGAGCCAATCAGCTCCAGGCAGGGACGGTCCAGGCATTTCCATGGTGATGATGGGCGTGGGCAGCTCCGGTGGTGAGGGAGTGATCCCGGGAGCCGCATGGAGCTGCGTCATGGTCACAGGATGCTCAGCCAAGATGGCGGTGTGGTCTGACCCAGCACATCAGCCCCATGG